AAACTTTTCCGCAGCGGCCGAGGATGGAGCCTGCCGGTATGGATTATTTCTGCGACCAGGTGCAGCAGAAGGACGTGGGCCGCAGGATGCAGGTCGGCCAGGAGCTGCTGGAGTACCTGAGCGACCCGGCGAGGTCCCCCGATCTGGAGCAGGACCAGCAGCGCCTCGACAAAGTGATCGACGAATTGACAGGATGGGTCAACTCCAGTAATTTTAAGGTAGAGGCTGCTCGGCGAGGCTTGGGTACGGGAGGACCATGATTCATCATGGGAGGGAGGTGCAGGGCTCCGGATTACTTTTTAATCGGATGCGAGCAGAAATAAAGCTGCGTTTGTACCAGTTTGTATCCCCCCCCCTCCCCCAAGGGAAATTCAGAAATTCTGGGAGGGGGTGGTTAACATTTTCTTGTTTCTATTCTTCTGTCCTAAAAGAAGCAGTGATGGGGTTTTTTTCGGTTTGCTTTTATCCTTGATTAAACGTTTTTGTGCAGAATATTAAAAAAAACCCCAACAAACAAACCCACGCAACTATTTTACATACTCGGCTTGTGTTTCTTAACTCGGAAACAAGATAGGTGGTGATTTTCTTTTTTTTTTTTTTTTTTTTTTTTTTTTTTTTTAACTACCACTCCCATTCCACGGTCTCTGTACTTGGGTGTAATGTTGCATGGGATTGCCATTATTTTCTGTAGGCCGTAAAGATCGCTGCTTCACCGGGTTTGTATTACGCCCTGTGTGTTTTATATGATTTAAGAAATAATTTTGCTTCCTGGGGTTCCCCCTGTAAGTTTAAAGTTGTTTGTATCGTCTGTAGGTGACTTCCCTGGATGCGGGACGTTCTATAGTATCTTTATAGCAGCCCAATGATGACTCACGTTTCGCATTTTTTTTTCCCCCCCCCCCCCCGGTGTTTTAGGCCCAGCTGCAGGAAAACGGTGCTTGCTCCCGCGCACGTCTATTGCAATATTTGTAATTTTTTCTGACGTTGGTCAGCCGATAACGCGACGGGCAGCGCAGTTTTATTACCAAGGGCAATCGTATTTGCATTAGCGATTTTTTTTTTTTTTTTTTTTTTTTTTTCTTTTTTTG